CAGCTACGCATCACAGTGAGTAGGTGTTCCTAACAGACAGAAGCAACTGGAACTGGTATAGCAACTACTACATGGGTACCTGAGAAACTGAAGTATCCCGGCTGGGGGAGGGATTTTCTGTCAATTTCCCTCCTCATTTAGTGATGCAGGCAATTTTTTGCTGGGCATATTACATTTGACCTTCTGAGATAAGGCCCAATTAGCAGCAGAATTACTAGGGTTCTTAGTGACCCTGCGGTGGGCCCTGGCCAAGGTCTCCAGAAGTCATGTTACAGATTTTTTAGTTCTTCCTAAGTTGCTTTAAGGGAGAGACATAATTTAGGCCTGTCTGTTCTGTAACATTACCCTAGCAAATTAGCTAGGGGGTTAATCTGATCCAGGAGAGAGTCCAGTGTACCTGGGATACTCATCAAATCTTGGTCAGATGTTTGATTAATCTTTCTGCTTTCTTGGAACAATTGTCCACAGAGATTAAGGAAAAAACCACAGACAGCAGGGAGCATGGAAATGAGGACTGGGGTAAGCAGCCAGAAAAGACTCCAGTATCAAGGGGAATAGGTAGGGGGCAGTCCTGTGAATGATGGCCTTGGGATTCGGCCATACATGGACTGGTCAGCAACTAGATTGACCAGAACAGGGCTTTGAGTTCCCTGCCTCTTCAGAGTGAGCCTCACAGGAGCTGTCCAGTTAAATGTTTCAGAGGATCTAAGGCTGGATTTTTGAAATTGTAGAAGCAAGGGCTAGAGAGTTAACTCAGTGGCATAAGCATCTACCTGCAATTGTAGAGGCAATTCATATGTCCCTACATATTAAGTGTAGGAGGAACATCTACAGATAGAGCTGATCTTTCATCTGGTTACACACTGTGTATAGTTCTTATTCAATCTATGTTTTAATTACCTCATATGCACACTTGTAAAGATGTCCAACTCGAACTACACATTCCCAGTCTACAATGCTGATTATTCAGTACATAGAAGAAAAAGTAAAACAAATAAATCAAATCTATTGGCTTTTGGCACCTGGAGTTGTGTGACCAGAGGTCAGGATATGAATGCTCTCTTGCTCTTAATGTTTGTCTCATTTTTGTTTTCTAGTAATTTGAAAGGTTACTTCAGAAATTTGGAGTTGCGTTCATATCTGATTGGAATAGATTTCTCTTTATTGAAATATGAAAGTATCAAACAGAATGCAATGCCCAGGCCAGAGATCAGCATCACCAAGGACACAGAGAGAGGAAGATGGGGGAAGATCCAGGCACCTCAGTACAACTGTGTGGTTTCATTTGGGATGTGGACTTGGAAGTTTACAAAGAAGAGAGGAAGAATCTGAGAACAGATTTCCACCAAGTAGTTCAATTATGCCCTTTTGAGTTTCTTTATAAATACTCTTTTGGAATTTGTACTTTTGGCTTTAACTCCTTCACCAGATGCAATTTCATCATAAACAGCAACAAAATCTTCATTTACTGAATGCCCAAGCAGTTTTTTATTTTATATTTTTATTTATTTATTAATTTTGTGTGTATGTGTGGCCAGGGGGCGGGGCTGGCTGGCATCTGGTGCTGGGGGATTGAACCGCGGTCCCTGTTCTTTGCTTGGCTTAGTTTGTTCTAAGTAGGTGCTTTAGACCACTGAGCCCTCTCACAAGCCCCAGTAAATTATTTTTATTTTGCACAACACTTATACCATTATCTATTTGGATATTGTTGTTGATGGTACAGCCTTTTAAGGTTTTCTCTGCCTAAGTCTAAAATAAGAATTACAACCTTGCTCCAAACTATGTACATGCCTTTACAGTAAAAGTATGATTGAATTTTGGAATTAAGAAGGTCAGAGATTCTTCAAGAATTCACAATAAAATGAAGCTCAGAGTTACCTTGTAAAAATATGCCTTTGCTCCTGCTACTGGTGCTCGTCCCACACACACCTAGAGAGATTTTAGAACTGAGAGTCATGTTTCAGCTCACCTTTCTGGACAAAAGAGGTAAGATTTTCTTAGTTTTTTCTTTAAGGAAGCTAAGGAATGCTGAGAATATTTCAAATTAGTATTAGTTAGAATCAAAGTAATCAAAACATCAAATTCATAATATTTGCTTTTACATAAGCTCACAGATTTTATTAGAGATTATTTTACTAAATTCTGAAATCTCTATTGCTTAACTTTCAACACTTCCTTAAATGTTATATTATGTTTTATCTTTTACCAGGTATCATTATTTGTCAATTTTAAAATGAGAAAAGACAAGCAAGTGTTTGGGAAGGCACAGGCTTCCCCACCTAGGTATCACAGCACAGCCAAACGTCACCCATTTAGAAACCACACCTCAGAGGCAGCTGCTCCCTACTGCTCAAGAGCCTGCACCTGGACAGTCAGGAGATGAAGCGTCCCTTTTAACAAGAGGGAAGCCTTGTCCCCGCGATGCTTCCAGGCTGCTGAGGGTGTTCATGGCCTGCATCTGCTTAGGTACAAATAACTCTAGTCCAGGTCACAGGTTGCTTCTCATCTCTTAGCAGACCCAACTCAGATACTTAGGAGCTCTTTGCTGTACCACCCTCTGATCTGTTATTTAAATCTATAGCAAGAGTAGGAATTGTTCTAGAGAATTTTTTGAATGTTCTTTTCTAGCTGTCTATTTGCCTTTGGGTTGCTTTATAGTAATTCATCCATTAAAAGACTGAGGTAAATGAAGTCCGCTGTCTGCAAGACACACGATCACACAACAGCATACAAACCCCAGGTCCCAATTTTAGCAGTGGTCATGTAACACACCGTACCATTTTAACACGCATGATATAATAGCTATTTTTTTTGCAGCTAATAGAAATGAACGCCTCAGCCTCTTATAATCTACCATATAGAACTCCAAGTCAAGTTTTAAGGAAATAAATTTACAAAAAGTAAGAAAGATTTTACTTTTGTCATTTATTTTTGAAGTAGTTCTATGAGTTGTGAAATTTAAGTAGCTCATAGAACTGTGTAAAGAAGAAGAAATCCTGTCCTTATTTTGGATGTGATTTGTCTTTCACAGAGTCAAAGATTTATATCGAAAAGGACAAATATTTGTTGAATTTGTGACCAGTAAGTAGGTGAGGAGGAGGGTCCACAGATCATCATCAATTCCACTCTAAATTCCAGAAGTACTTTACTGAGGAATCTAAGTGCACACCAGCTCGCTCAGGCTGCACTTCCTCAGTCCCAAACCTCAGCTCTCACGGCCATCCCTGCCCTCTCTCCAGGCGCTGCCCGACCTACCAGAGAAGACAAGCAGCCCCACAGCACTCTGGGCTGAGCCGCACTTGCTCTCACAGCTGCCGGATCTCAGGGCAGAAGCCTGAGAAACCCACTTCCTGCTCGGGAGTAACAGAAGAACCAGGAAGCAGATAAGTGCAGGGCACTCACAGACCCTCAGCTTGAGGCCTGAGGAGCAGCACAGTAACTGTGCACGAGGACACGGCCACATGCTGCTCTCCGGCCTGCTGTGGGCGTCGGTGGCCTTCATCCTCTCTGGTATGGACGGTGTGAATCCGGTCAGGCGAGCTGAGGACAAAGCCACTGCACACAGGCATATAGCGCTTCATATGGGGAGGGGAGAAGAGGGGGTGGGAGAAAGGAAAATAAGCTACGACCAGTTCTGCTTGTGTGTGGTCCTAAATTATTCTCATAATTACTTTTATCATTTAATTTTGAAGTAGTTCTATTCATTGTAAAATCTAAATGGGTCGAAGTACCGAGTAAACAGAACGAATAGATCCCATCACCATCGTGGATATGGTTTGTCTTTCACAGTCAAAGACCTGCATACAAAGTATAAATATTTGCTTTTGATATGTTATTCAGCACATCAGAGGATCAGCACAGTTTTCTGTTTGTTCCTATAGGACCCAGTGTCGCCCTGAAAGTGACCCAAGTCCAGCCACCCACATCTGGGAGAGAAGGGGAAGTAGCCACGCTTGACTGTGAATATGAGACAGAACGGGGCACAGACTACCTTTTCTGGTACAAGCAGCTTCCCAGCGGAGAGCTGACATTCCTCATTCAGAGTGCTTCTGGTCAGACTAAAAGGACTGGGCGCTACTCCTTCAGTTTCGCAAAAGCTAACTCTATGAGTTTCAGCTTCTCAGGTTTACAGATGGAAGATTCAGCAAAATATTTCTGTGCTATTCGGGCAAGCACAGTGCTTGAAGTGGCAGTAAAGGCTGAACAAAAACTCAGGAGCTCCACATGCGACAGGCCCTGGTGCAGAGCCCGGCTAAGACTAGCACCTGTGGCTTCCAGACCAGAACAGAGCACTGTGCTTTCTTAATCTATGATCTGGATAAGAAGATTCTATTCTAAATAAAACTTTCTTCTGGGTCATTCAGAAAGAGAAGACAGGCACAAGTTTGTGGTCTATTTCCGTTACGAATTTTTCAGGAGATACTAGATGATAGAGAACATGAATGAAGTCATCTCACATTGATAATGAACCCAATAAAAACTTGAAATGCTAATTTCACTTGAAGGTGCTCACTGTGCACATCTAAGTGTGGTTATAGGGAAACAGCAGACATGAACTTCTTGCCTCTTCCTTCAGGCTTTGTGTCAGGTGCAGTCACAGAAAGAGGAGGGTGACAGTAACAATGAGGCGACCTTCTGTGTCTGCTTGATGTGGAAAGAAGGTTTCTGCAGAGCTCAGGCACATGGATCTGGCACTGAGCCTGATTTAATGGATGGCTGACAGGACTTGCATTTGGGAGAGACTTGGATGAGGACCCTGACCACAGCTGGAATCTAAAAGGATAAAAACACCTTGTCTGCTCCTCACCTCTACTCCTTGGAATTTTTTTCCTGTGTGACCTTCAGGAAAATCAGTGTCATTTGCCATCACGCTACAGTCATACTTGTCCCAAAGCCAAAGTAAACTGAAGGAGATGCAGGGAGAGTGGCAGCAGTTGTGTCAGCGTGAGCTGAGCTAGCGATTCAGCTGCAGTGTGAGTGAGCTATTCTAGAGCATGGGGTGCTGAACCCACAGAGCTCATAAGAAATGACTGCCACATCCCATCAGCCTTCAACCTGTTGTTGGGGCTGGGGAGATAGCTCAGTTCAATAAGCACTTGCCTGGCAAGTGCAAGGGCCTGAGTTCAATCCCTGGCCTTGAAAAAATAAATAAATAAACAAAATAAACAAACAAAAAAACCCTCTTGTACTGGTCTGTGGCCAGCACTAGATCATAGGAAAAGAATTCACGTGAAACATATTTGCAGAGTTAACTTGGGACAGTTGAAAGGTATTTTATATTCAAAAATAACACCTGGCATAGTCATGCTTCCTGTTTTTCTAACATCACTATTCCTTACACTACCATAGGCACGCTAGCAGTCTTCCACAGAGAACACACAGGTAAATCCTTGTACCCTCCTGTGGGTGATGTTCATGCCTTCTTCTAGCTTAGCCATAAGCTCCCATAGCTATTTTATAACTTAAATACTGTTCTACAACTTGAACCTTCATTAGCACATCTTGTGCCACTACAGGCAAATGGGAAGAGAATAAGCCCTGTTTATTTTATATGTAAATATATTTACAACACAATGGACAGGAACATCTACATCTCTTGTAGTCCTTGTTTCCACACAAGGTCTCACGATTGCAGCTCGTTTCTCACAGCTCCCTCTCGTCTCCTTCTGGCGGACAGTGAGCGCCTTCCTGCACGGATGCTCTTGACTTTGTGCACAGCAACCTCCTCAGTCAGGAGCGCTGCTGCACGGAGCGCTGTGGGGTTAAATAAGTCCTGCACTGCCTTTGGCAGCAGAGGTGCAGGGAGGCAAATGGGTGTAGACTCCTCCTTGAACATATTTATACAAGAAGCAATGACTTCTTTGCAAAAGTCATATAAACCTCTGTGATCTTATTCCAGATAAACACTGTTCTGAGAAACACAGCTTGTCATTAAATGTAATAGACATTAGCAAGGAAAACTGTTTTTAAAAATGTTTAACACTGAATAAAACTTTCAAGCTATCTTTCTGTGATCATGAAGCATATGTTAAACACTTACTAGTCCAGTGATTGAAATAGAAGAGGTCCAAAAAATGCATATTTTGATTAATTTTTATAAGATAACAGGAAATACAAAATGTCAATTTTATTCAATGATTTTCTGCGTACAGTACGTCTTCAACATTCTCCACACAACACAACAATCCAATGTGTACAACAGTGTCTAGTCTCTGTCTGAATTGCTTTTGCATTACCTTTTCTTTTCAATGAAGCATTTCACGCTGTCATGTGGGCCTTTCCCTCTTTTCTGTGGGTGGCACAAGTTCAATAAAATGTTTATTCACTAAACATAATGGTGAAGACGCCAGTCATGGACATCTTGTCCGGCATTTCCTTGTCTCATATTTTTCAATTATTTGCTCTAGTAGATCTAATGTAAATTTTGCATGACTTTGTCATTAAAAGCAATAGAGGTCAGCAAGGAAAACTATGTTAAACAACATTTAAATAACACTGAATAAGACTTTCAAGCAGGCTTGCGAGATAGCCTAGCAGACTAAGTGCCCACTTTGGCAAGAGCAGTGACCAATGACTTTTTTAACCCAAGTGTTTTCAATAAATAAGTTCCATTTTGTTTTGTCACGAAGATGCATAAATATTTACCATAATATTTTCCTTGCTTCCTGTTTACAGGACAGCTGGTTCGATGTTGGTCATTGCTGTTAACACCACCCACAGAATTACAATTCTCACTGGCCATTATGAAAGTTCTTTTTAAGTTTTGGGTTTTTTTTTTTTTCAAGCTTTATTATTTATTTTTATGAATAGTTGTAGGTAAGGAGACACCTTCTTGTCTTTGCATCTCCTAACTTGGACTTTTCTCTCCAATACACCAACATTTTTCCTTCTTTGCTTTTTCTTTGGGTGCTTCCTTCCTATTCAGACTCAGTGTCCCATAAGTGTCCAAGTTTTAGGCTGTAAAAGAACATCACTGAGTTGTGGAGATGTAAAAATACATCTAATTTACTTACAATAAGAGTTTTTATGGAGTACAGTACAAAATTATTGGTTGTTTTTTCATAAATAAAGTAAACACAAATTAGAAAAAATAACCACAACTTGTTATTAGATTTCACAGGCTGGGGAGATAGCTTGCTGGTCTAAGCGCCTACCTGGAAAGCTCAAGGCCAAAGTTCAATCCCGGTTACCACATGCTGTGCCTGCACTGGAACCCTGGGTGCTCTGTGCAGACCCTAAAACCGAATATGGGGGTGCACTCCTGTTATCCCAGCACTGAGGAGGCTGAGACAGGAGGGTCACTGCGAGTCTGAGCTACATAGTGAGAACCTGTACCCAATGAATAAATAATTATTAGATTTCACTAGAAATAAATATTAAGGGCAGATACTACATTCTAAATAAATGAAATAAGCAATATAAAACAAATAGATGCAAAAGTATGTCTTGTGCAAATAAAGACTGACTGGTTGAAATGTCAGCTGCCTGAGGGACCCTCAGAACAGTTCATAAGTAACCAGCACACTACCCGCATAACTCAGGGTGACTGCTGTGATTAAATTGTTCTTGTTGAAGTCACTCTTAAGTCAGGCACATTGACATGTATCTGTGGTCTCAGGTATTTGTGGATTAGACCTGAAGAACTGTGAGTTCAAGATCAGCCCAGGGAACTGAGATGCTGTCTTAGATAGGTGCATAGAAAGATGGAAGGAGAACAGGAGAAGGAGGGGAGGGAGGGAGAAAACACTTCAGATGTGGAAAGTGCACTTTGGTCTCCTAAGATAGATACAAGTTCAAGTGCAGCACAGAATTGGCCTCAAAATGAAAATAATAAGAAGGGTTAGAATGTGTGTTCCTTCTGCTAATTATTTGTTTCCTTTTATTTTTATTGGAACATATTTGGAATATGTAATCGCTACACTCCATATGGAGAGGTGGCACCTGTAGACAACAAATCTTAATTATCATTTTGTGCCCTTTCCTTCCTCCCACCTCCCCACCTCTTATTCCTCTTTGCTTGTGCAAAAGGACATCAATCTCTCTTTTTCCTATTAACTATGTTCTATTTTGTTCTTTACTTGTTGGGCTTCTTATGAAGGAAAAACCTGTGATATTTAGTCACATTTCTTACTTAACATTCTGGCATCAGGACACATTATTTACTCACAAATGTTTCAAGTATACTCTTATTAAAGCTTCACTCTGCTGTTCAGGGTGATCTGGACCTACAGGACTCAAGAGATTTCCTAACTCAGTCTCCCAAGCAGCTGGAGCATGACTTAAAAAATAGTTTCAATATCAAAAATTCAAAAAATCAAAATGAAAAACCTCACCCAATTTAGAAATATGCTTCTCAATAGCAAAGCAGCTTGTTGAAAAAGCACTCAATACCACTGCTTAATAGGAAAATGAACAAAAATCCAACCTTTCTGAACACTCCATTTGTTTTCCTTGGGGCCCCAGCAAAATAATAAAGTCAGGAGAACAGGACTCCGAGTGCACAGGGAAATCAGTGACTACCACAGCAAGCTGGACTGTTAGATCTCGTGAAAGCTTCCAAATGCAGTAACAACAAACTCACCCAAAAATCATATCTTTGAAAAAGGGCCAAACACATTCACTGGAAGAAAGATAGCTTCTTTAACAAACGGTGTTAGAAAAACTGATTCTCTACATTCCCAAAACTAAAACTAGACCCGGGTCTATCACCATGCACTAAAGTAAAGTAAAAATGGATTAAAAATTTAAACATTAAAACAGAAACTCTGAAACTTTTGGAATAGAAAGAGGTGGAACACTTGAAGATATAAGGGTAGGCAAATATTTCATGAAAACAAAATCAAACTGCACAGGAAATATTGAAAGAACTACCAACGGGGACCTCCTCTTATTAAGAACTTTCTGTATGTCAAAAGAAATTGCCAACAGAGTGAAAAGACAACCTACAAATTTGAAAAAAATTCTTAACTAACAATCACTCAGGGAAAGGCCTTCTATCTAGAATATATAAAGAACTAAAAATTATTAGGGCCCCAAAATTTAAAGACCCAATCTAAAAAGTGACATCTGAGTTAACTACACATTTGTCAGAGGAAGAAATACAAGAGGAAAAAAATTACATGAAAAAATGCTCCACATCACTGGCCATTCAAAAAATGCAAATTAAAACAACACTGAAATACCATCTCACCACAGAAAGAATAGCTATCATAAAGAAATCAACCAACAACACATGTTGGAGAGGCTGTGAGGAAAAAGGAACCCTTCTTCACTGCTTGTGGGAATGTAGACTGGTGCAACCATTAT